TTACAACGAAGGTATGAAACATACTCAATCAAGGAACGGGTCACAGCCCAACGACAACAACGATGAATAACGCAAGTTATCATCAACTAAACGGAAGGTACAAACAACACACACGCTAGCATTAAGACAACAAACTAGCATGCTTATCAACGGGGAAACTCAAGATAGTTCCAAGGAACACACAAGACACCACTTGGTTCAACGAAACACAATGTTGAACACTTAGCACGATTCAAGACACCAAAGATCCTACATGGATACCTATCATATAGCTCTAGACCTACGAAAAATCAAGAAGACACTCAAATAGTTCCACAAAAGAACAACTGGAAGTCAAAAGATCAAATACCGAGACAACCGAAACACGGGGAACAAATCCCGAACCAAGCGCCACCGTGAACCCCGCGGGTGGACCCACGGGTAGGCCCCTACCCATGGTTCTGCCCGCGGGTACACAACCCACATTCCCATCTTGCGGGTGGGTGGCGGGTAGGGCTCTCCCCGCCATTCCGCCCGCGGGTACATGCTCCTGTGTCAAACAATCCCTTCGGGGATTTTCTTATCCAAACACAAATTCAAGTCCAAAACACACCAAATCTCACCAAACACAACAAAATGACATGAACCAAGGAACATGCAAAGAAATGGCACAAAGGAACCCTAAACACAAGCTCTAGATATGCAATATCACAAGATAAATGCATAAACACTCACATTTCATAGCAAAACACAAGTAGAATCCAAGAAATCACATATAGGTAAGCAAAATAGGTTTTGTAGAGCATGGGTTACCTCTTGAAGACCAAAAGACTTCTCTTACACCACAGCATGCTCTCCACTAAGCTCATTAGCCAAACCCACTTCAAGATCAAACCAAAAGATCATAAAGATCCTACCTTTAAGAAAAAGACAACTAAGATGGAACCAAAAAGACTAGACAAGCTTAGATCTTACCCTTCTAGATGCCCAAATAAGTGAAAGATTGAATCTTGGAAGCAAAACTTGGAATCTTGACAAAGGTCTCACTTGGCTTGAAGAACAAGCTACTCTTCTTTTCTAGAGAGAAGGTAGAGATATTTTTCTAGGAATTGTAAGGAATGAAATGAAGAAGTCTTCTAGGTTTAGATTACAACACTAGCTCTTGGTGAAAAGACAAGGATACCCTTACTAACTCTTAGAAAGTGTAAGGAACAAGGGAACTCCTCTCAAAGCATAAGGTACAACACAACTTAAAGATTGACTAGTCAAATACTAGTCCTTGAGTATTAAAAATCAGGATTTTAGGAATCCATTCCTCAAGAGAAATAGAATTAATTACTCAATTAATTCATGGATTGGAGTGTGGATTTTTTGGGTGTCACATCCTCTCCCCCTTCAAAGAAGTTTCGTCCCCGAAACTTGGGTACAACGAGTTAAACGAAGGTAACAAGGAAACAAAATTGTGACAAGAAATTTCAAGAATATCCCTTTTCGTCAAAACTCCAAAAGTTCTCAAAAGGTTCCAAGGCATAGAAGAAGACATTACGAATTCAAGGATTGGCAAGGCCAGGGGTCAACAAACGGATAGATTGAGCATCAAGAACTCTAACCTCAACACAACAACCAACTCCTAGCCAACAACCAAGAACTCAACAACTAACTCCAAGCACCAACTAGCACTCCAGCTAAACAACAAGGCAACAAGCTAAACAAGCAAGCACACAAAGCACACAACAACCTAGGAAAACAAGGTACCTTCTACAAACAACTCAGGGTACCGCTCCCGCATCGATGCCTCCAACTCCCAAGTAGCTTCTTCAACCCCATGATGAGACCACCAAACCTTTACCATCTTAACAGATTTCCTACGAGTATCCCGAGTCTTGAAGTCCAAAATTCTGAGCGGTCTTTCTTCTTAAGACAAATCTTCATCTAACGGTATTACTTCTGGTGGTAAAACATGAGCCGGATCGTGAACATATCTCTAGAGCTGCGATACGTGAAACACATTATGCACTCCTTCCAACTCCAAAGGCAACGCCAAACGGTAAGCCAAACTCCCAATCCTCTCCAGGATTTCATACGGACCTATAAATCTAGGGCTCAACTTCCCTTTCTTCCCAAACCGCATTACTCCCCGGGTGGGAGATACCTTCAACCAAACCTTATCCCCAACTGAAAACTCCACCTGTCTTCTAGCCAAATCAGCATAAGACTTTTGACGATTCTGGGCCGCTTTCATCCTTTATTGGATCTGCCTCACTTTCTCGGATGTGTCCAACAAGTATTGTGGCCCCAACACTATCGGATTGACGAGATCCTCCCAACAAAGCGGGCTGCGACACTTCTGTCCATAGAGAGCTTCATAAGGTGCCATGCGAATACTCGAATGATAACTGTTTTTGTAAGAAAACTCGATCAAATCCAGATGGTCCTCCCAAGACCCTTGAAAATCCAACATACAAGCTCTCAACAAATCCTCAGTGGTCTGTATAGTCCTTTCTGTTTGTCCATCGGTGGCTGGGTAGAAAGCTGTACTGAGACTTAGCTTAGTTCCAAGAGCTGCTTGCAAAGATTTCCAAAATTGAGACAAGAACCTTGGATCCCTATCGGAGATAATATCCCTCGGAACTCCATGATACTTTAGCACTTAGTTGACATAGGCTTGAGCCAACTGCGTCATTGTCCAGGTCTCCTTCATAGCAATAAGACGGGCAGTCTTAGTCAAACGATCAACTATTACCCAGATTTTGTCCTTACCCGAACGGGTCGTCGGTAGACCTCCCACGAAATCCATAGATATAGAATCCCATTTTCCTTGCGGAACTTCTAACGGTTGTACCAACCCCTTAACTTTACAACGTTCCACTTTAACCTTTTGGAAATTGAGGCACTTCCCTACAAACTCTGCAACTTCCTTCTTCATATTAGGCCACCAGAAGAAGCCTTTCACATCTTTGTACAAATTGTCTCCCCCGGGGTGAACCGAATAGGGTGTGTTATGACCCTCTTCCAAAATCCGTCGCTTCCACTGATCACATGACGCGGGTATGCACACACGTTTTTTGTACCTCAACACCCCATCCACGGATAACTCAAACGGTCCCCCTTTTCCTTTACCTAGGTCATCCCTTACCTTGGTCAGAAACGCGTCCTTTTGCTGCTCATCCTTAATTTTTCCCAGAAATGTAGGTACAATCCTCAAGTTATAGCAACGAACTTCTGCCTCCACATTTCCCTGTTCCACCACTTCTAAGCTCATCCGTTGAAGCTCCTTACAAAGCTCATCCGCCACCACCCAAATAGAACTAGCGGTATGCTTCGATTTCCGACTTAAGGCGTTCGCCACCATATTAGCTTTTCCTTCATGATACTGAATATCTAACTCATAGTCCTTGATGAGTTCTAACCACCTTCGTTGTCGCATATTGAGGTCCTTTTGGGTGAAGATATATTTGAGACTCTTGTGATCCGTGAATATCTTGCAATGCACCCCATAGAGATAATGCCTCCAAATTTTCAAAGCAAACACTACGGCGGCCAATTCCAAATCGTGCGTAGGGTAATTCTCTTTGTGAACTTTAAGCTGGTGTGAGGCGTAAGCAATCACTCTCCCATTTTGCATCAACTCACAACCTAGTCCTTTCTTGGACGCATCACTGTATACTTCAAACCCATCCGTTCCCGATGGAAATATTAAGACTGGTGCAGACGTGAGCCTCTCCTTCAAATCTCGAAATGCTGATTCACAAGCTTGATTCCAAACGAAAGGCACTTCTTTTCTTAACAACTTAGTCAACGGTTGAGCCACCTTGGCGAAATCCAACACAAACCTTCGATAATAGCCTGCTAAACCAAGAAAACTTCTTACTTCCGACACCGATGAAGGTACAGTCCAATCTTTCACTGCCCGTATCTTGTCCGGATCCACAGAGATCCCTCTACTATCAATCACGTGGCCTAGAAACGTAACACTGTCCTTCCAAAACTCGCACTTAGAGAACTTGGCGTACAACTGCTTTTCCCGCAAGATTTGAAGTATCGTCCGGAGGTGCCCAACATGTTCCTCCTTATCTTTTGAATAAACCAAGATATCGTCGATGAACACGATCACAAAATCTTCGAGGTGGGGTTTAAACACTCTGTTCATCAGATCCATAAAAACTGCAGGAGCATTAGTCATCCCAAACGGCATAACTGTAAACTCGTAGTGACCATACCGAGTTCGAAACGCAGCCTTAGGAATATCCTTGTCTGCTACCCTTATTTGATGGTACCCTGACCTCAAGTCAACTTTGGAAAACACTCCCGCGCCACGGAGTTGATCAAACAAGTCATCTATTCTTGGGAGAGGGTATTTGTTCTTGATGGTAACTTGATTCAGCTCCCGGTAGTCGATACACAACCTCATACTCCCATCCTTCTTCTTTACAAACAACACCGGAGCTCCCCAAGGTGATGCACTTGGCCGGATATAACCCTTATCAAGGAGTTCTTGCAATTGAGCCTTCAACTCTTGCATTTCAGGCGGAGCCAAATGATACGGAGCTTTAGAGATGGGTGCAGTGCCTGGCATAAGATCCACTGAAAATTCCACTTCCCTAGCAGGCGGCATACCCGGTATTTCTTCGGGAAAAACATCAAGAAACTCATGGACTACGGGAATAGATTGAGTTACCTCTCCTTTTGCCTTCAAGTTCTCGACGGAGCACAAGTACACATCATTGCCCTTGTCCATATACCTCTTCATCTTTACCATAGACACCAGCTTAATTCCGGGTTCTCCCATCTTTCCACAGTATGACACTCTTTTCCCGCTGGGTCCTCGTAGCACCACCTTCTGATCCTTGCACAAAATTTGGGCTCTAAAACGCCCCAACCAGTCCATACCTAGGACCACATCCATCTCGTCCAAGTCGTACTGGATTAGATCGCTAGGGAACTCTTCTCCTTTGATATTAATCTTGATGTCCTCGAAAAGACGGTCACACATCCTAACTTCTCCCGATGCTACCTTCACGTTAAACCTCACTCCAGCGCCGGATGATATAAACCTCACTCCAGCCCAACTTCTTCACGAGGCCAGATGATATAAACGAGTTAGACGCCCCTGAATCAAACAAGACTGTTGCTGGCACAGATTGCACAAGGAAGGTTCCCACTACTACGTCACTGTCACTTGTTCGGAATTCATTTAAGGTGAACACCCTCTCTTGAGATGACCCCACCACCGGATGATGAACCTCTATCCTCCCATACTCTCTTGCGTCACGGTGTGCTGGCAAAGCCGCTGCACTAGGACTTACCCTTGTGGACGTACCACTCCGGATCCACCGTTCAATTACCCCAGAAGCATTGCTAGCTTCGGTCAACCGAGATTTCTTAACCACTTCAAACACTGAGGATCGCTGGCGAGGAGGCATCACAGACTTCTGCAACAACAACAAGGTTACCAAAAGAGCAAGCAAGACAGAAAGCAACGCACATCTCACCGCGCAACCTAGAATTCTAAGCCCAACACTTGGCTTCTTAAGGTCGCTTAGAGGTCTCAAAAACACACTTAAACACTTAGAAAGTCTAGACTTAACTCTTCCTAGGCTCTAAACCTGGCTTTGATACCAACTGTAACACCCCCCAAAAACAAGACCTAAAAACAAGTCTTAACACATGCAGATTAACAACAAAACTAGCACAGTGGAAGATAAACGGAAACTGGATAAAAGGAATCCAAACAGGGGTGTTATGCCACGTATACCACACTAGGTAATGCTAAGGCGACAATCTGCAAGTGTATCACACTAACCCAAAACATCAGTCTAAAACAATCTAAAACCTTTGGTGCGCAGGCCACAAAAACACAGTCTAAAGATACAGGTGCTAAGCTACCAGGCTCTAGACATCGCACTCGACTACTCAACACCAGAAAGAACACAAAGATAAACATCGGGGCGACGCTCGGTCAGCGAATAATGCTGGTAACCCACCAATACTGTTAAGTATCATAAATAGGTAGATATAAGATATAAAAACCATTTTCGAAACGGATTACATATATATATGTCAAAAGCCAAGATCAAAAGACAACACAAGACTCACCACTCACAAGGATAACACCGGGAACACATCCCAACCACAAAGGTTAACCACACACAAGGATAAAGACTCACTGGCGAGCTGTCGTAGGCTCCCAAAATTAAAACCTTACAAACGTAGTAGCGGGAGTAAGGATCGATCCCACGAGGAGTAACTAGTTTAACTTTTGTGCTCAAATTAAAGGCAGGGGGTTTGGAATATATCGAGAATAAAGATAAAATAAAAGAGAATTTAAATAAACAAGAAATTTAATTGAACGAATAAAGCAATGAAAATAATATATCGAAAACACTTATAATAAGAAACCTTGGTTAGTAAAGATCCACCACCGGAATTCAACATTGATCATTGATTAATAAAGTAATTAATATGCATTTGAATATTTGTCGTGAAATTATTTCCTTTCTGTTTTCCCTTAGTTGTAGGTAAATAAAGCACAAGCGGTTTAATTACCCCTAACTACTAAATAACCTAAGACAAGTGCTATAGATTTAATTTAATTGCAGCAATAGGAACTAGGAAAACCGACAAACTAAATAACACAAGCACAAGCGGTTGCATTTAATTTAGGAAAATATTCTACCCGAGTCCAATTATCACTAAGCCGTCAATAATTAACCCAGTTGCTACTGAATATTAGAATAATTTGTAGCACAACATCATCTAATATAGCAAAGAATTATATCAAGTAAATAACTAGTAGGCCTTCCTAGCAATTAAATGATACAACTATTCAAATAACTTAGAAGAATATTTAATACCCAAATGCATAAAAATTATATAATAAAAATAAATAAATATCCTTACAGCGTTATGAACTCCGGGGCTTCAATTCACTAAACCAACTCGAAATTAGCCACAAATGGACATTGATAACAATTTCAACGAATACTATAGAGGAGGAAAGAATGAACGTTTTACAAAAGGATTTTGCAGGTATTTATACAAGTCTCATAATAAACTCAAATTAATCTCAATCGTTCATTTTCCTCTTTTTTCGCTAAGCCACGAAGTAATCCACAATTTTCAGTCCACACTCCGTCGAAATAGCGTTGCAAATTGACAAAATCTTGTTTGATGCTGCATGCGCCACATACTCTGTAAGGAAGAAAGAAACAACTAATTGTTTTACTTGTTTTGTCTTTTCCTAATATTTGGGGCGGTGGGTATCATGGCATATGATTAGGATAATAATTTGGGGTAAGGATAATTATAATAATAATAATTATTATTATTATCATTGTTATTATTGTTATTAGGGAAAACAAGGATAATTATTATTATAAAACACTAATTAATTAAAATCTAAAAATAAATAATTATGATATAATAGTAATTAATTAATGTAAAAATATTATAAAGACATACATAAAATAAGAGTATAAAATATGCCTATCAAATTCCCCCACACTAAAACGTTTGCTTGTCCCCAAGTAAAAAATATTATTTGCGAAGTAAATAAATAAAATCCCCAAAACTCATAACATATCATGAACAACAATCTGAAGCACCCTGGAATTAATAAGATAGCACCCCTGTCTGAAAATTGAGAAAACTAAATAAGTAAGCCCTCACAGGAATATCACTCATCACTCAAGTGTTTGATGGGTATAAATTTCACTCAAGTTTATTCCTATAAAATTGTTCTACCATAGGCTTGCATATCTTCTCAATCACCACTACAAGAGTCATGCATGACACAAATCATAAGGACTTTCCACAGGTTGTAATGGGGCTAAGGTTAAGGTAGGGAATATTTAGGAAAGTAGCTTAAACAAAAGCTTTCAAACTAGAGGAGCAAATAAATACAAATAATCCAAGATACTTGCTCAACACCAAGTATAGAATGTTTCCGCAGTATTACCAGAATTTCCCCTTACTTCATTTATTTAGAAGTAACTTCAACTCAAAATCAATTGCTGATTCTTTCTCATTTTCTCATAAATTTTCAGCAATATTTTTCTTTTTCAAACATATATTCTCCATTTTTCCATTTTTTCATTTTTTCAATTTTTCAATTTCCATATTTTTTTGGAATCATGAATTGTCTTAGTTTTCTTTTTCATAGAAGACCAGTGACAAATCGACAATGAAGATACAACACACCTCATTTTGCATCATATTCACACAAGAAAGTGACCTCCCCCACACTTCTTCCTCACAATCTCACGCAGATTACACGAATAATTCAAGATTTGCTCCACTAGTTATTCAGCTGGGTGAAGGCATTATTTTTAGATATAAAAGGCTTGTAATGTGGTTCAAAAAAAAAAGAAAAGAATGGCCATAAAGCTTAAAGTGGTTAACAAGGGTAAATAAATCATAGGACAAACCGGTTATTTGGCTAGTGAGGCTCAAGATCAAATAATGGCCTTAATCACACTTGAATCATGCATGGTCTAATTAGCTTTAAAAGAGAATCAAGGCAAGTTCTAGAGTAACAAAATTATGGAAGAAATCGCACAATAGAAAGAAAATAAGACCGAAGTGTCAGTCAATGGCTCAAAACACTCACAGGTTTATTGCTTACTTAATCTAGCCACTACATATCGAACAGGCAATGCTAACAAATTAATCACAACTTGCCAAACTATTTATTCAATCATGTTATGAATTTCAAGAAAGGAAAATATAAATTTTTTTCAAAATAATAATTTTTTTTTTACATAAAATAGTAGTAAAATATTTTTGAAAATTCTAAAATAAGAAAATAAATAATAAAACTTTTTCTTTTTTTTGTTTTTACATAAGCAAACAAATAATAAGACTAAATCCCCTCCCCCACACTTATTATCAACATTGTCCCCAATGTTGAAAAAAAAAAAAAAAAAGCACAGAAAAAGGGGTATTGAATGAGAATATGGAATAAAAGAAAAAAAATGGAACAAACACACCTTAGGTTGCCTCCCAAGCAGCGCCTTTGTTTATCGTCGTTGGTTCGACTTATGATATTTCTTTAAATTTCCATCGTCTTTTTGAGTACCTTCGATGATTGTAGGTATTCAAAGAAACAGTCCCTTCATGCAGATTAGTACTCAAAGATGATTTATTATTTCTTTCTTTTTCATTCGAAGCAATTTCATCAAAAGTAACAAAGTTCAAAGAATCAACAAAAATTGCAAAATTATCATCACTAGGAGATTTCATGGTATCATAAATATTAAAAGTCACAAGTTTACCATTAGACTCCATAGTAAGCATACCACTATGAATATCAATTTTTGTGTTTGCAGTTTTTAAGAATGGCCTTCCTAACAAAATATGATTATTATTTTCCATATCAAGCACATAAAAATCAGCAGGAAAAACCAAGTTATCAACTTCAACAATCAAATCCTCAATCACACCCCTAGGATATGTAGTAGATCCATCAGCCAATTGAATTATTATACTAGATTTATTCAGGGGTCCAAGATTTAAAGAAGCATAAACAGAATATGGCATGACATTAATAGAAGCTCCTAAATCTAACATAGCATTTTCAAATTTCACCCCATTTATCATGCATGGAATAGTAAACATACCTGGGTCTTTGCACTTTTCAGGAAGATTGCTTTGACTAGCCATAGAGACATTCTCTTGCACTTTCACTTCCTCAATTCTTTCATTATTTCGTTTCTTTTTCATAGTGCGTACCTCTTTTAGAAAATTTGCAGAGCGAGGTACTTTTTCCATAGAATCTAAAAATGGTTTATTCGCCTCACATTCACGAAAGGTCTCATACAGATCATTATTTGAGTTTCCTCTTATTGTTTCTAAAAGAGCTTGAGGAAATGGGAGTACTGGTTCATAATCAGAAAAAGATGAAAGCTTACCGTCGGACTTCTCTTTATTGTTGGCAATGATTCCTGCACTTATTTCCTTGTTTAAATCAACACTCTTTTCCAGCGACATACTGCCAACACTAATTGCACTTACACTCTCTTTTGGATTAACCACCGTTTGAGAGGGTAGTTGGCCAGAACTCTGTGCTTCCAACCGACTAACCGTAGTTGCTAGTTGGCCCATTTGTCTTTCCAAGTTTTGAATACTAGCATTTGTTTCTTGAATACTAGCCTTTGTTTCTTGACGGAATATTTGTGTTTCTTGTTGAAACTGCAGAGTGTTAGTAGCAAGAGATTTAACAATATCTTCTAGATTCATACCTGAGCTAGAGCCTTGGGTCGGTTGTTGTCTTGAAGGAAATGGTTGTCTATACTGTTGAAAATTAGAACGATTCTGAACTTCTGAACAAACTGGTTCCCTTGTGAGTTTCCATAGCTAAGGTTTGGGTGATCCCTCCATCCAGGATTATATGTATTGGAAAATGGATCATACTTACCTTGAGGTTGTCCAGGAA